AGTGAGTAAAAAAAATATCAAATGATAAAAATTTGAGTTTTGCATGCAACACTTATTGTCGACTACTTTTTCTTCTTCTTCTTCCCCCCCCAAAAAAAGTGTAATTCACAGTACTGAATATCTAATTTAAATCCTTGCATCTAATTCATAATATTCTGAGAACAGCAATTTCAAAGGAAGAGGTCATAATGCAATACCAAAAGAAAACAAAAAATTTTAGAAGATCCCAACATGAAAATATTCTAGCATTGACTAAAACACGGCATCACTGCTTTTATATTTAATTACATAATATGAATGTTATATGCAACTCCTGTTTATTTTCACCTCTTGTAAGCATTTACTTCTTTAATTATCAATAATCATTATAATAGTATAATAAATACCATTTGGTATGATTTTAAAAGGAAGTAGTAAATCATGAACATTTTTTCAAGCTTACCTTAACCATAGAAAGCTAATTTACATTTAACTATATTTTGAATATTTTTAATTTTAAATATCAGATCTAATAAGTAATATTTGATTGAGAAGGATGTCAGTCTTAAACATCTCATACTCTCTCTTTCCAAAATTACGAAAAACTAAATACATGAAAAAAACTGATCAACTTGATAAGGATCAATGCATACTTGCCAACCTATGACACTCAAAAATCAGGAGATTTTTTTAAGAAATCAGGAGATTTTTCACAATGTTAAAAGACTTTTTAAATGATAAAAATATAGTTTTTAATAATGAATTAACTTTAAATAGTAACTAATTCTTAAATGCAAGCAGCAACACAATACCTTACTAACAAAAAACAACATTTTTATTAATTGCATTGTTTAAGGGGGAAAAAAAAAGACACTTTAATTAGTTTTCATACAAATGTTATAAACAGTGGCAGATTTTGCTTTCTTTAAGAAAGAAACTTCATAATTTTGTTCACAGCAATTGCCACATAGGCCTGTTTTCGCTAATAAAAGTTTTTCGAATGTGTCATCACTAATATTAGATCTAAATTTAGTCCTCGTTTTCGCAACAACACTGAGAATCCTCTCACACTCTGCATTACTATAGGGAACTGTCAAGATGGTAACACAATTCTAGACAGTTCACTATATTTTACAATTCCATCAGCACCTTTCACTTTTCCAATTAAACTCCACTGGGTGTCAATCCTAGCTGATTTCAGCTGCTAAATTTAAGAGGTGACAGGTGCACCTCATAATCTGAATTTTCCTTTTCTTAAGATGCCTGCAACACCAGTCTTCCAAGCCTACGAATACTGGTGCATTATCGGCACCAAGTGCTAAGCAATTATCCAGAGGGCCTGCATTTTCTTTTAAAGTTTTAATAATTAGCTGTGCTATATTAAAGCCTGTCAAATGTCCTTCTAAAGTAGGAACATAAAGTAAACTGCGCTCAATTTCTGAAGAACTCTGGATCAAAAAAAGAAACAACAATTGGATACAGTTTTGAATCGGTATTATTACTTCCATCCGTAGAGAGGCAGAAAGGAGCTGTTTTAATGCAATCAATAACTGAAGATTTATTTTTCAAACCCATTTCTTTAACAATTGATCCTGTTTTGATTCTTGCACCTTGAGTATTTTTTAGCGATTTCACTATCGGGAAACATTTTTCTAAATAAATCTGCAGCATGATCCAATGCATTCAGTGTCAGGATGTGCTCCAGTAAAAAGGCAGAGAACAGACATTCTGCATTAATAACTTTTTGGTCCTTTGTTTCCGAAGAAAAATTTAATTTTTCGTTTTTTTAAAAACAACTCGTGTTATCCTTGTGTTTTTGCGTACGTACATGTTTGAGAACATCCGCCCTTCCACCATGCGAAATTGAAAAAATCGCAACAACGACAGGCAGTGCATATCGCAAATTTAATTACATTTCTTTGAGGAAATAATGGAAGGAAAGTCAACTATGTACGATTTTTGAAACGTACACGATTATTTCACTTTTCTCCTCAGACGTAACAAAAGATGATAATTTCTAAAACTATTTCCCTAAGGCACGTGTACTCACACAACTCTGGACAAAATGAAAGAAATAACTAAAGCACGTCCAAATAACAACTTGCTTTGTCCTCATTGGCTAATATATGCCAGCTGACACGCAGTGGAGCTCGAAGCCCATTGGAGAACTGGAGAACGACGTTTCTGGATACGTATAATGCTCTCACTCACAAAGCAGAAGCTATCTGATTAGCAAGGTTTTGTTTTAGATATAATGTAGAATAATTCAATTGCTTTCAGACATCCAAAAGCACTTTTTTTTTATTCATATAACAAAGCATTAAGCCAAGTTGCATAAAAGTTGTGAGAAATTTTAAGAATAAGAAAAAGTTGGGAGAAATATATTGTAAATCGGGTTGGCGGGAGAGCGCTCGAAAATCGGGAGTCTCCCACTTAAAACAGGAGAGTTGGCAACTCTGTCAATGTCTTGCATATTTTGGATTTTAAATAAGTGCCTGTTATTTTTCAATTAAAAGATGTACTTTTCAACTTTTCCTCTCTTCAAAGGCATTGACTCCAATACATTCAACCGTTCTCTTAGTTTTGGTTCATTAAAGTTAGAAGATAATTTCCAAAATTCATATAGCCATTCTCAATATCACAGGAAGTGACACCATTTAGGAAATTACTTGCATGAAAAGCTGCATAACTGAGAAACCATACTTACATGGCAGAGATATTTATAGAATTACTTCACATAAATTTTAGCAGAATTCATACAAGATTCCTTACATCCGCATAACAAGCTTTTTCATTTACATACATCAAATTTTATACAAAAGTCAACTTCAACTTTTGTATATTTTCAAAGTATACTGGAACTTCAGTATACAATATGTTTGAAATGTTAAGCTGATCCAGAAAGTAAGTACCATATCTCCTGCATATCTGATAACATGAAGGTTGTGTTTGCATAGTTACATCACTCAAGTTGAGAATGAATTTGCCTAACCCTTTTATTTGTTTACATTAATACTTGAAGTCACTGTCTGTTGATAATCATGTTTAAACCAATTAGTCAGCAAACCAGTAGTGAAATAAGAGCCATTATCAAGTTTCTCAATACAAGAAACGTAGAGAGAAAACAAACACAATGATTGAAGATATGGTGCAAAAGTAGGTTAGGATGTTTAATGAAAGAAAGGAAAGTGTTCACGGAAAGAGTGCAGTGGATACATGTTGTTGATAACCAAAAACTGGTGCACTGCATTGATGTAAAACTTCATTCAAACAGGCGATTCGATTTCTGATTTGCCAATGTATTTTCAAAATATTTCACAATCATTAAACGAAACTGTGACTGAACATCTGCACTACAAAAAACTTTTTGCGGTAGGTATCAAAAACACTACTGGACTTTCAAAAACTTACAACGCACTGGAGCAATCTTGTAGTTTTTGTGTGACAGTAGGAAATCATTTCATAAAAAGGAGTGTCACAAGCGATGAAACATGGATTTGTTACAAGAACTTCAAATGAAATGACAGTCACTAGAATGGCAGAATACTGGTTACCCGAAACCCAAGAACACAAAACCACTTCTTTCTTCAAGGAAAATCACATGCATTATGTTTTGGGACCATTAAAGAATTTTGTTAGTGAATTGAATGGAACAAGGCACAACAATCAGTGGCACAGCTTACTGCAAGACACTGAAGAAGTTACAGCGTGTAATACAAAACAAACGGCGACTTCTGGTATTGTGTTCACATATGCCAACGTGTGACTGCATACATAATGACAATACTGCTTGATTCATTTTACAAGGAACAATTCTGTTCCCCTCCTTATAGTCTGGACCTAGTTCCATCTGATTTCCATTTTTCTAATTTAAAAAAATTTCTAGCTGGCCAGCACTTTGCAACTGATGATTAGATCAGGGTAAATGTCCAGAACTGGTTCAGGTCACAAAAATTCAAATTCTAAGCAGGTATGATGCAATTAATGCCATGATATGACACATACCTTAATTCGCATGGTGAATACGTCAAAAAATAGTTTAATCCTTTTGGCCCTACCGGGACATATATGTCTCGGTGGGGCCGAAAACTGATGTTTGAAAGGGTTAAGGTGTGAAGATTACTCTGTAAAAAGTACAAATGAAAAAAAATTGCTAATCTTTTTAAATAATATCCAAACAGCACTTATTTCCTGGATGAGCTCTGTACATACTGCTTAGACACGAAAATGTGTTTGGTATATAATATTTGTTTGGAATACAACTCGCATTGGATACGTCATGACTGTGCGCAATACATTTGCTTACCTCTTTTGAGACAATACTATGACTGCCCCAGGAGCATCAGAATGACTGTTGCTATTATTCATAAACAACCTGTTGCTAAAATTTGAATTTTTAAGTATTTTGTGTTTTTTCAAGTAAGTTATTTGTAAATTCATTGACAGTGAGTTTTAGGAAAATAAATGCGAAGAGTCGAGCAATGAAGAAATTGTCAGAATCACTACGGAGGTGAAAAAAAAAAGAGGCTGTTGAAAAGTATGAAGTTGACATGCGTATTCAGGACTTTTGCTATTGTTCTAAGAGTCTAGAAAACAAAAATGCTATTAAGTCAATTAAGGTTATGAACAAGGTGAAATTAATTATCAAACAAAGATCAGACATATTGGAGAATGTTGAAATATGGCTTTCGATCTGGAGAGCAGAAAAAAAAAAATATATACAGTGCATATTTCACCCACTACATTTATAGTTTCGTATTAAGTGTTATAATAATAACATAAAATTTTTATAATAATATATTAATTATTTTCCCTTTATTTTTCATTGGGAAAGTTCATTTGGTAGGCATCTGAGGATCTGGAATGGATTAAGGACACATACCAAAGTACCACTGCATATAAAAAGGCAAAAAATGTATTTATTCACTTAAAAGTCAAAACTTCCGATTGTTGTTTGCATAATTTGGATTAAAAAAATGACAGATTATATAAAGAATACTGTATCAAAGGCTTCAGCTTACTTCAACTATATCACTGTTAGTTCTACTTTCATGAGGCTCATTGTACTCAGTATATTTGAGCAGCACTTTATCCATATCTGTACTTGCATACTGGAACAACTTATTAGTACTATTAAATATGATAAGTGCTATCTCACAGTCGCACAAAACACTGAGTTCATAGGCTTTTTTCATTAATCCAAACTTTCGCTTGGTGAAAGTAACCTGAAATAAATTAAAAGTCATTAGCCAATATTCTGCAGATAACATTTTCATATCCTTAAATTTATCCACATTTATCAGTATTTCTAAAATACATAATACTTCTCTCTTAGGGGTTGAACAGTCCAAACATCTCGTGTGCAGGGGAGATTTAACCTTCCAGCACACGCATATGCGCAAAATTTATGACAAATTTAGCTTTTAATGCACATTTTTCGCATATCAAAGCTGAGACGTTTAAAGGTCATTTCTATTCCTCCTTTCTACCCTTCTCCACATCATGGAATGTGGCAACAGTTTAAAAAAAAAAAAGTCATTTGACTTTTTTTTTTAAACTGGGCTTTTGTGCTTCGTGGCAGCTTTTTCATAAAAGTTATGACACGCAGGTGGTCGTGTTTTAAAATTGAGAAATTTTTTTCCTCAAATATTTTGTAATTTTGTGTTATTAATTGCCGTGTATTATTTTAATTTGAATACATTTGGGTCTGTAAATTTTATATGTGTTTTCATGGCAAAAAAATATGTGCAACCGGCTGATTTTGCTCAGATTCTTCAAGAATTATAAGATGAAGAAAAGGAAGACAAGGAAATCTTCGGATGGGAGAACAATAGCGATTTCCATTCCTTATTTTCTGTTATTTCTATTTTTCAAAAATAAATAAAAACATTAAAGTTAGTTTAAAGTTCGTTTTTGTAACCAGTAAGAAGTAAATTTCCTTGCAGAAGGAAGTAATGCTAAACTTACTTTTTTTCCTACCAAAGTGTTTTAATTTTTTATTGTCTATACTAGTCTTTAATGAATATTAAAATTAACTTCAATTTAAAAATATAATTATTAAATAATAAATTTAAAATTGTCTATAATGAAATACATCATTGCATTTCCATCTCGCTGATATAAGAACTTAAATATAATTTACTTATATTTAAATGTGATATCATTCGTATTTTGCAATAATAAGATAAATACAGCACAAAGTCCGTAATCCAGACTCGTCGGGACTTCGGCGATTACGTATTAGGGATTTTTGCGGATTATAGATCATAAATTTAAATCTGGTAAGATGGCATGCAGAAATTATACAATTAAAAATATGAAACCGTAATTTATGAAATAAAGAGCAATTATGATCTAAAGGGTGTCAAAATTTACAAAAAAAAAAAAAAAAAAAAAAAAAAAAAGGAGCTTAATATTTATTTGTTTACGTTATTAAACATTTCTTTCAATGTAAATTGTAAGTTGCTTCATTTTTGGTGCCAATACTTTCTCTTTAATTCTATAAACGGACACAATTTCTTGTTCAGTTACAAAGTTCAACTGTTTAAGTCCAGTAATTGCTGTGTCGAGAATACCGACTAACTTGTCAATCGAAATTTTTTCGTTTTCAATAACCTCTCTGTCACTTTCTTCACTATCGGAAGCGGTATTTTCTGGATCTAGAACCATACTACAGGTTTCGCCGTTCGTTAACTGATTGATGATTGGGGCATTGTCATCGGGTATTGTTCCCTTTTCTTTTTGCTTATGTCATATACAGTTGACTTTCCAATGCCATACTCCTCGCATAATTTTGAGACGGATATGCTTTTATCCATTTTTTGCAGCAATTACACTTTTTGTTTGATGGACATCGAAACATGCTTTCGCTTTGTAGATCCTTTGGCAGCTCCAGAATTGGAAACTCTTTTTGACATAATCGAAAGTTCAAGGTTAATTTTTATAAAATTGCTCTAACAATCTGCAAAAAATAATAAGCCAGACCAATTAGAAGATTAAGGAACACCACAATCTGCAACATTAATTGAAGTGCCTTAGAATCAGTAAAAATAATTTTAGCCTAGCTTATACCGTCTATTATGCATTAAACGCGCATGCGTAAAGCATACAAAAAAAGTTTGTGGCTTTGAGGTCCGGATTATAGTTCATTCCAGATAATGGACATCCGTATTACGGACTTTGTACTGTATTTTATTTCCGAACAAATTTATTATCAATATTGATTCATTTATGTCGTTTTTTGTGCCAAAAATTGGAAATTAGCAGATGTCATAAAAAATGCGACGCACACGTGCTGATGTAAAATTGTCAAGCGCGTGTGCTGGAAGATTAAGGTTTTAAATAGGAAGCAAAGCTGGCAGTAATTTTATATTATTATCATATTACAGTATAACAACTTTATGTACCATAATTTTGAAAAATTTCTATTTTGCTCAGAAGTTTGATGATTATCAAAAAATAACTATTTTGAAGACTATTTAGAGAGTTTATGTACACACTATATATTTCAAACAAAAATTTCTGCATATAAAACCACTGTTAATTAAAATTTTTAATCTTCAAACATGAAAATTTGGTATTTACATTTCTGAAGATGTTAACTTCCCCCCCCAAAAAAGCATTGCCACTACATATAAATTAAATAAATAATTTAAAATGAAACTTTTTTCTCTGTATACAGATTTTGATGGTTATGCAACTCATCTTCATGTATTGGGGGGGGTGGATTTTACATAGTAAGGAGTAGATGATTTAAATTATTTCTCACAGTTTTGACATTTACATACCCTTGAAATGAAGATCTGACTTAAAAAAGGGATATCCAAAACAGCTTGAAATACCAAATGTACCATAACCATCTGGAATAATTATGCACATCATGACAGGCATGAAAAAGTATTGGAGATTCAAACTTGATCATTAAAGTGGATGTAAACTTGTTAATAAAATCCAAAAACCAAGGTAGATATGACTCTTTTAACAGCAGATATTTGGTTGTATAAGCTAAGGGATCAAGAAGTCCTTTAGTCTCCAAATGAATATTGCTGGACAGAATACATTGTCACCAGCAGCAATAAATGTTCATTGGAGTCCTATTTCAACAAAGAACTTCAAGACTGGCAATCCTTCTTTTCAGTCCATCACAATATTACACAAGGACGCTATGTGAGAATGCTCATCAAAATGTTAAATTTGCATTCTGAATATCTTCAGAAATCATAGCCCTCTTGATAATTATATTTCTGAATATCTTCAGAAATATAATTATCAAGAGGGCTATGTTCTTTTATTCCATCTTTTATGCAAAATTAATATACTTCATGCCAGCTGAAATTAGTTCTGTGGATTACTGTAAGTTATAAGAAGCTATGAGGTACTCTAGGATTATCCTGCCCTCCATTTTCACCAAAAGCTAGCTTCTGTGTCAATAACCACAAATAACTGTGTAGTCCTTTACTACGTCAGTTTCTTTAGTGTGTTGAAATATACTGCTTTTTTGGTATGGAATCATTTCTTCTAGGAAAATGTGTGTTTATAGCCACTAAACGGCGTTCTACATCAAAACTGATAAGCGAGGGCAGTGCAATGTAAAGGGGTAGCTTTTTGAAAAGGCACATGGTTGGAGGGCTAAAGAATTCCGTTTCTGACAGCCCTCTGGTTTATTTACTGTTGGGTGCAAGAATTAACATCAACTGAATGGGGAGAAAAAAAGTTGGATTTAACAGGAAAGACAATTGTTGGTTGGAATAATTATATGAGGGAAGTGTGCACTCATTGCCTTTTACAATGGGATTCGAAACAAACAGGAGGTCTGAACAAAATTGTAGAGATAGATGAGAGAATTTTTAAAAAGGCAAAAACCAAGTCAGTCATATTCTTCCAGAACAATGGATAGTTGGGGGACTCCGCAGAGAGATCAACGAGTGTTTCCTTGTAAAGGTTCCCAATCGAAATGCAGTAACTTTAATGGCTGAAATTCGGAACAACATTGCAGAAGGAACTATAATTTTCTCAGACTCGTGGAAAAGTTAAAAGATTTATGATTGGAAGCAGCGGGACTCCAACACTTTTAAAGGGAATCACTGATGTAATTTTGTGGATCCTGAAACTGGTATGCATGCACAAAGTACAAAATGATTGTGAGGTTTTGCAAAATGGAGAAAAAAGAAACAACGCGGAAGTACCCCAAAACACTTGGATTCGTATTTAAATAAATTTATGCGGCAGTAAATGCACACGGATAACTTGTGCACACTTGTTTGTGCTTTAAAAGCTATCAAGGATTTTTTGCCACCGAAATGATTTATAAAAATATATATGGTTAGCTACAAGACTAATTCAATGTGTAATTATATATATATATAAAAATTACAGGTCTTTACTTTGTTTTGATTCTTTTTATTACATATTATTACACTTATATTTTTAGTAGTATTATTATTTGATAAATTTAATGTGTTTAGAATGCTCATTTTGGAAACTGCTTTAAATTATGATGGCGCCAAAGGATTTGCACATTTTCACGAGCGTTTACAGGTCGACGGGATAATTCCAAAGTACCAAAGTTATGTTACTGATATAACAAGAACGTATTTTAAATACCTACATATTTTGACATTAACTATTTTCAACAATGTAATCAAATGGTAGAATTTGTAACAAATAATGGATAAATGTGACAACCCATCCATAGCTGCCAGTCTTGAAATATGGAAAATGAGGAGATTCTAGAACAAAAAACTGAAATTTTTCGGAGACTTTTGATACTGCACCCCCCCCAAAAAAGTCCAAATTGACTTAAATGCATTTTAGAGTGCATGATTTTATTTTCAGTCTATTGAACTATTTATAATATAATTCTGAGGTAATTATACATTAATATTTGGTTAAATGTTTTAAATTTTTGTTATTTTTTGGCTAATTTCATTTCTTAATTTTCATACACTTCTTTAACTGAAAAACTCCCAAGAAGGGAAGAATTTATTGAACTATTTTTAAGCATGATGAAAATAAAATTAATAATTAATTTTCATACACTTCTTTAACTGAAAAACTCCCAAGAAGGGAAGAATTTATCGAACTATTTTTAAGCATGATGAAAATAAAATTAATAATTAATATGCATATAGTACATAATTCATGACTAATATTAAATATGCATAAGAGCGATCATAATCTGCAGTCACGCTTGTGAAAATATCTGGAGAAGTGAAAAGTCATCTGGAAGGGGGATGTTACACACACACAAAGGGCTGGCAGAAACATAAATATTTTTTATCAACATCATGGGTTACCACACTAGAAATGTTATTCATGAGAAAGTCTTGTTTAATGTCATTCACGATCAAGCACTTGATCCATTACCACAAGTAGTCAAAATACTATCAACAAGATCATGCTTTAATAATGACAAATAATTCATGTTATATATGAAAAAGAGCATATGATACTTCTGAAAAACTAAGGAAAATTAATTTACCTACCAAATTATTCATGCTAAGGAAACTACATAGCTCAAAATTAAAAGGAGGCAGAATCCCCAAAAATTCTACCATATTCTAAATAAAAAAAAAAATTCCCATATCCTTTATAAACAGCTCCCCCCCCCCAATATGAAAGTAGCTTAGAGACTCTTCAAATTTAAATGTGGCCTATAACCTTCGTGCTAGAACAGATAGTTAAGTTACAGGTAGAAAATTTAAAAATAATCACATATCTGCATTTCTTTTAACTTCTAAAAGCTAGGCAGCTTAGGAGAAAACAAACTTTCTTCTGATCCTATAATAGAAAAACTGACTGACAAATGCAACAAAATACTAAAAAATAATAATAATTTAAATTTGTGAAAAGGGATTAGAGTAAATTGAAGGGTGCCCCATTGGATTATCACTAAGTTGGTTCTTCATTTATCGACAAGTTGCTGTTTCATTTATGGTAACCTGAGTAGTTGAATGCTGTGAAAACCCCATTATGACATAATTGGTTGCATGATTGGAGTGTACCTTGGATTATCGCTAAGTTGGTTCTTCATTTATCGACAAATTGCTGTTTCATTTAGGTAACCTGAGTAGTTGAATGCTATGAAAACCCTATTATGACATAACTGGTTGCGGAATTGCGGTGAATTTTAATGATGGGATGGATTTTGGTACATTGTTATTTTGTGGTTTACATGGTAAAATACCTAATGTTGTAAGGTTAATTTGAATTTTCTGTATAATTTTGAATGAAAGGGAGTATTACCGTAATTTCCGGAAGAAAGGCCGCATCAGCGTAAACGTCGCACTCGAGAAAAATGGTGGGGAAAAAATTTAAATTACACAGAAACGCCGCAATAGATTAAATTGCGCGTGACATCGTCGTGAGCGGTATAAATGCAAAAACTCAACCTAAATCCTGATATATGACATACCAGTTAAGAAAAATGCATGAAATGGGAACCATAACTCAAAAAGAAATTAAAGGTAAGAAATGTTTAGCTTCTGTGCCGTTTAGAGACATTTTCAAAAATTTTCCGTTCCCTTCTTACTTAAAAACTATTCAACAAGTACTTGTACCCAAACTGATGGGATCTGTATTTGGCAGAATGCCAAGATAAATCCATTCATGCTGAAGGGGAAATACGTCAGAGTTCCTTATTGCAAGGCAGGTGAAGTCGTGTCCGCCTTTGAAAAAAATTGCAGAAAAAGGGAGGGGTGGAGAGAGGATGGGTCCTGGAAGATTCATCGAATGGCAGAGGAGAGAGACTATTCAAACTGATGAGAATGTTGATTTGAAAGGGGGAAGAATGTTATTGTTCTGAGATCTCGTTTAGGGTGAATAAGGCATGTAGGTCCGTTCAAGGGAAAGAATGTAAACAAAATAACGTTCGCAAAAAGCAACTGAGTGGTCTTTTGTGTGGGAACAGCACCAGTCTATGCACAATGACAAGGCCATCCAAACTATGTACAATGACCATCATAGGAAATATTTTATTTTTAGTGCACCTAAACGCCGCATGGGTAGAAACGCCGCACCCGCTGAAAATTTAAGTTTTAAACAATTGACTGGTGTGTAAATGAAGGTTTACTTAGTTGCCATTATAAGTGTCCTGTTTGTAGGAAGGAAATGCATATGGTTGAACGTCAGAGAATACCTGCACTACAGAGGTTTTTTTTATGCTTATTTTTATGAATTTATGTAGTGATGTCAGTATATAGATTCTAGTTCAGATCATTTTAGGAAGTTTTTGGATGCTGTTAAGGAATTTTGTTTGATTGAAGACAGAGAAATATCTAAATAAGGTAAGTGGATATTTCCTTTGTGTAGTGCTAAGATGAATTTCCTTTTCTATGTTATTTCACTGTTTGATTTAAAATGTAGTTGATTATAGATCAATGTGTACATGGACAAAGTCAAGGGAATACACAATGCCTAGTTTGTGCAATTCTTTTATTTTTTTAAAAAGTGAAATAGGTCGATGTGTACATGGATACCGAGTTTGTGCAATTCTTTGGCTTGTTATTTTGACTTTGTGTATTTTTGGCAAAAATCGCCACTACACAAAGCCAAAATAATAAGTCAAAGAATTGCACAAACTCGGTGTCCATGTTCCACCAAAAATCGCCAAGGGGCACCCATAAATATAATTTTACCATGAAAAGGATATAAAATAAATTCTTAAAATTACAAAAGCAAGAGTCATAAACTGTCACAAAATAAATCACTTTAAATCCAAATACTGGCATTTAAAATCTGAAAATCCTGAGTAATTAAAGCAAGTATGGTAGAAAGAATTCTAAACCTCATTCAGTCTTTCATTATGACCCAGTCCAAAAATAACTAGGAGCAACTCAATCAGGAAGTAAGCTGATAAAAATATCAACTATAAGAATCACCATAGCAATTAAAATAATAACAAACAAAATATTCAGCATCGAGTCATGTTCTCTTAAATCATACTGAATAATAGAGGAAACCAAAAGAGCTATAAACAGTTTGATTAAACACTTAAATACAGTCTCATAGATCAAGAAACTGGTGTCCATACTCGAATAATTATGGACAAATGTGAAATAAGAAATACCATTGAACAACACAGTACCATCTAGAATGAGAACAAAGAATAGACATTTTCAAACACAATTCGAAGAAAAAAGATTCTGAGCTTGGGTTACGAAACAGCATGAATTTGAGTACTTAAATCATAAATGCAGTTTGGGATTTAGAAACCAGTCACTGACTAAATACGGCAACCAAGTTTTTTTATTTGGCTCAATATGGAGGCTATATTATATTCGATTAAAATTATTTTGTGCCTCGCTAAAAATAGACAAGTACATTATAAAGTTTAAAGAAATTTATCACATGATGATTTTAAAGAAATGCATAGAACATCTTTCAAAGTCATATAAAGCACTATCAAAAAACATCATTTATACTGTACAGAAAGAAGCAGCTGCTCTCATAGAAGATAGAGAAACTGCTCTTTACCCATACAATCAAGAGAAAACAATTTAAAATAAATCATAATGCGTAAAGACACACAATAAATAACAAAAGCTGATAAAGATAACTACTAACCTGTCTGTTTCGCTCATCAGTTATTCTTGATATCTGTATCTTCTTTCGCCCCATGGCTGTAGTTTTCACACTGGGAACTTTATAAAATCCTTCCAGTTCAAAACTTAAAACACAGTTTTAATAAAAAAAAATGCAGTTGCCTTTCGTCTCAATGGGCAACTGTTTAAATCTTTTGATATCCTGCAAAAGAAATATTTATATTCTTTTAAATAGTCTTAAAAATTAAGCATAAGTAGCAGTTAAAAAGCAAAATGGTATTTTTATTAATTTAAGATAAATTTTAAAAAAAAGGGGGAAGAAGGAGATTAACACTTTTCTTTTCAAATATCTTAACAATTTAAAACACTTAAAAGCTAATTTGATTTCAACTGCCACGCAAGTTATCTGCAGATTAAAGACTACTAAGACACAACACATAATTCAACCAGTAACAAATGACTTATACAAAGCATAAATTTAGTGTCAATTGACACGACATATCAATTGAGATTAAAATTTGTATGTAATAAGAACAGGGATAAATAGGATAAAAATCAACGTATTTTAATTTATATGCTACATTTTGTCATGCTCAGTATGCCCTTCTTCAAGTGGAATAACCTTTTCCAACATCGCTGCCATTTCTCAAAGACCTATTCAAAGCTCTCACTTGCAAGTCTCTTCAAAATTATTCCCAGTCTTTACAACAGTTAACTCATAACCAAAATGTCTACATTTAAGTTTTTTTCCTGTAGTAGTATTAATAAGGGGGATTATCTGAATCTATACTTGAACTATTGACTGATGGGGCTTTTCATCATTCGAATCTTTCAAATTCTACTCTAAAAACCACAAACATTTTAAACTCAAAACTTACTAAACATTAGTTTTATTAACATCCCAACAAAAACATTCCTAGAAATAAATTGATTGCTGCAATTTCAATTAACTTGAATCAAATTGTAGGTGGCCCACATAACTTAATTTTTGAGTTAGTTATTAAGGTGATGACAAAGCAAATGAGGGCTTTCTGTCTAAGGAGAGGGATGCTTTCATGCAGGACATTTTGAAGTAACCTGGGTCATATTTACATTAGACAAACATAAAAGCTGACATGCAACCTGTTTGTTAGGATTTGAATCTAGGTTGAAGTATGAATGTTTAACATTCTTATCATTCTGCCATGGATGGGCTCCTTCATACAGTAAGTAAAATATTTTGTAAGTTTCTACAGTTTGTTTCGATAAGGTGATGCAAAACTGAATGCTGCAATTGTTTAGAAATATCAAATACCTTTTTAAAACCTAGAAAATAAATATTTTGCATTACATTGCACAGCAAGAGCTGAATCAAGCAACTTTGCTTTACTCATCATGACTTGCTCTTTTTCCAATTCATACCAATGTGTTTTCTGATTGAAGATAGAACCATTTGCAGCAACCAGCCTGTGAATATACAAATTAGGCTGTATATACAGCAATACTTTGTCAAACTATATACATGTAAGATAAAAAATATGTAAATCAGTTTTATAATTTAATTTAGTAATAGCTTAATTTCTCATGTTTAATTTGGGCATTTCCTCTCTCTATCCTAAAAATAATAGCAACTTTTTTCAACCGTGCCATTTTTAGATTGATCTATGCCACAGAATTTGAGTAAAGCTGATGACATAGCTTATTCGGAACTTGAACTCAAAATTTTGAAAACAGAAACTTTTCTAACCTAAACCAAAACCTTCTCTTGGTGGGCTTCCATACTGGATAAATGCACACTTAGCTTCTACTTTTGCTGCCGCTTGGACGTTATTTCGTCGTGCTCTCTTCCTATCACAACAGTCAGTATCAAAAATGTAATATTCTGGAAATAGGCATGAGAGTGCCAAGTAAATAGCGGCCACAAATGTCAATTGCAATAAAAATGGATATTTAATATTACTTGGCTGCCAAGTTTCCTAATCTCACTACGAATTAAACATTTTAACATACTAAGTGATCAGAATTCTTCCTCTTTATTATGGATATCCGTGCTACATCATCATCTACATTGCTATGTCAATTTTTCTTGTTTTCATTATGCATTCTTAATGTTTCATTTTAGCCTCATGAGAATATATTTTTGTATGCATGTTCTTCATTGTTTAATTGTTTTAACAAAGTTTGCATTGTTTTCATATGATCAAAGGCAAAAGTGGCGGGGAGCAATTTTCTCAAGTACTCTTATAATTATTATACATTGAACATCGAGGAAATAAAACATACTCTTATAATTATTATACATTGAACACTAAGGAAATAAAACGTACTCTTATAATTATTATACATTCCAATTAGAAGACTGCATTTCACATTGGACAGAACCATCAATTTCTTACTGCTTCTCAATTAGTAACTTGTATAATTTTAACTCAATCTTACTAAACAGCTATTTTAGACTTGATCTTTACTTGATAAAAAGAAAAATCACTTTCGCATCTATTGAATATTGTTAATTGACTGGAAATTAGTTTGTTCCCCTTGAAAATTCAACTAGTTTCCAGTCCATAGCAATAATTACCTAGTTTGTTGGTCGAACTTTCACTTTTAATTATTCTACTTTAATAATTCAGTTTCAATACGCTAATGAGTAAATTTCATTTCAATAGAATTCTAACTTAATTGCTTTATTTTCAAAGAAATAATACACTCTTAGATAAAAAAAAAAAAAAAAAAAAAAAAAAAAAAAAAAAAAAAAAAAAGACGCACCGAGAAGATATAAAGCAAATTGGACACAAATTGATATGCATACAGGTTTCGACGGAAAATGTAAAATTTTACATTTTGGCTGCCAATGAATGAACGATTGTCGCTACAGCGCATCTGATCTGCACCAACTAGCAGGATATTTAAGAGGAAAAATTACGATCCCAGGTCATAAATTCTTCATGAATTTCATTCCGTGTACTCTAGACAGTAGTAGTAACTATGCCTCGCATACAGGTGCACGAACGCAGATGTCAGAATTTGAGAGCAGTCATGTAGTTTTTCTCAAAGAAGCCAGTTGGTCTTATCGGCGAATAGCTCGACATTTGAGCAGGAGCGATGCCACTATTAGACGATGCTGGCAGAAATGGGAGAATCATGGCCGCACACAGCATCAAGAAGGAAGCGGTAGGCCTAGAGAAATGACAAAACGTGGAGACCGAGCAATCGTCAGAGCGGCACTCACAGCCCCAGATGCATCATTATCATCGATTGTACATGCAACTAATGCTTTAGTGACCGCAAGGACCATTCATAGACGGCTCTAAGAAATGGAGTTGAGGTTATGGCGCCTTTTGCATCTACTATCATTGACTTCTGTACAACGTCAAACCCGTTTGCAGTGGTGTCGGGCTCATTCGCACTGGAATGTCACTGACTGGAGTAGAATAGTCTTCAGTTATGAGTCCTGCTTTGAACTGAGCCCCGATGACCAGCGAAGGCGAGTCTGGAGACGTCCCAGACAGCGGTGTGATACCAACCTGTCTTCCAGCAGACAGGCTGCCGACAACCAGGAGTGATGGACTGGAGTGCCATTTCATTTCATAGTAGGACCCCTTTCGTTGTCATCCGTCGCAACCTTACAGCACAGCGGTAGTTGACAAAGCTCTAAGCCCCACTGTGTTACCCTTCATGTCACACCACCCTGGGCTTACACTTCTGCAAGATAATGTCCGCCCCCACACTTCACATGTTTCTGCTACTTGCCTTTAGTGCTTTCCGAAGTTTACCTTGGCCAGCATGGTTGCCGGATCTCTCTCCTATTGAGCCCGTTTGGAGTATGGACAGGGCCCTCCAACCAGCTCTGTATGTTGACAGACAGAATTTGGCACGATATCCCTCAGGAGGTTATCTGCAACCTCTATCAATTGATGCCAAGACGAATAACTGCTTGCATAAGGGCCAGAGGTGGACAAATGAATTACTGACTTTCACATTGTGAAACTCTATCATTTCAATAAATCATCTAATTTTTCTCAAACTGCAATCATTTATTTTTCTGCACATGTACATCACTTCCACCGATTTTCATCCCATTCCGGATAACTCCTTCTTGGTGTTTTTTTTTTTTTTGTTTTTGTTTTTGTCTAAGAGTGTATATTCAGATATCTACAAGTATATATATACAGTTTTTTCTACGAGGTGGGGTCAAGTGCTATGAGAGCTACACCAAGTGATATGTAACTTGGGTTCTTTGCAGAAGAGTTTTCTCTAGGAAATCAGTAAATGAATACGACTGGAATTTATTACAATAATAACCCGGTGTCACCTCAACTTTTACCTGTATTTATGAAGAAAATTCACCTTAGCCAGATCAAATGATTAAAGATAACCAGAAAAATGACCAAACTAGACTGGTTATTAATTAGTATGAAAAGAAGCTCAGAGGCAAGAACAATAAGAAATAACATCTGAGAGATATCAATGGAAAAAACAAAAACAAAAAAACTAGATGGAAAACGGTATATGGTAAGACTTATACAGATTTGTTATGTCAGTATGGGTTCTTTCCACTATGACACAAAAGCAGAAAAAACTATATCTTAATGATATTTATCTTCATATACTTCACTGTGTCGTAATGATCTTAAACTTTCACTTGCACAATGAAATCACAGATATTTAACTGACCACTTAAATACATTAGCTACTATTATTTTAACTTGTAAATGTGACTGCATTTCTTTTAGCTTTATACACATCTTCCAAACCTAATAACTTAAGATAGTAAGAAAGAAATAGGATATGACAATTCATCTACTATTCAAAACTTTCTTCATTATGAAGAGTAATATTAATTAAATAAAGCACTAGATTTTAAGCCAACAGTGAAAGAGAAACAAACCTTCATGATTTAGGAAAATAAACTCAAACAGAAATGTTCTTATGATAATATCAGTTGCATTGCTGGAGTCAGTAGCATTATGTGTCTTAGCCATGTCAGTCATCAATGACCAACACCATACACTTCCTGTTCAAACCACTTCAGTCACTAGTTACTGACAGTATACTTTTTTGTTGAGGCTCTGTCAATCACTACTGACTGACAATATACAATCTAAAAAGTTATATTCTTCTATCAATCTCTACACATCAATTATAAAGCTACTGTATTGCTTGTCTTTCTCTTGATTAAATTACAGCATTTGAAAAGTCTGTACCATGCAAAGAATTAACTGC